ATCATTTTTAGACAGTTATTTCACAACCTCTATTGTATACCCATTGGAAAAAATACTTTGACCTCAGTGGTGGGTATGGCCATGTTCACCAGATGTGGCGCTACTCAAGAAGTAAGTGTACTCTGGACAAAACTCAGCAGTGCTGGTACTCCAGACCAATTCAGTCACTGTTTTCTTCTATAAATTGGTATCAAACATTACATAACTTTTTTTTTTTTACATTTTCTGGTACACAGATAATAATGAAGGTGTCACTGGTGTTTTTAATAAGGTACATGTTCGCTAACTCCTCTACAAAGACCAACTCCACTCTGGAGCTTTCCATGTTGTCAGTCTGATGCCATCCAGATCACAAAAGCACTCTATGTCAACACATCCAGTGTGTTGTAAAAAGACCAAAGTGGCCACTGTAAGGTTTTTCACAGCTCAAGGCCTCAATAAAGATTTCATATGAAGCAGTGTAATAAGGGAAAACCAGTCTTCAATTCAGCTGTTCACAAGTCAAAGGCACCTGACAAAGGTTTGCAAGAGTCATTGCTTCATATTAAGGGATTGCAAATAAAATAGGCTGGGAACCAATGTATTAGCCTGTATTTATTAAAGGCCTTTAATCGTTGAACATCCACAGAGTGCCTGGAATTTGATTTTTTGTGACCCTATGGATGAAGGCATATTATTTTTTTCTTTTTTAAACTATTTGCATCAATGGGTGTCACCCAACAGCACTCCGTTCTTTAACTCCTCAAACTAGTTTTAAAGTAAAATTCGCTACCAATCGTTAACAACAGAATTTTTGTAAAATGATAAACATACAAAAAGTGGGAATGGGTCGGAATAACAAATTACATTACTAGTATTATCTGACCACAACCAGCCAGAAACTAGTTTTATGATTACAGCTGTTACAGTCCTTTGTAATACAGATCAAATAGTCATGATGACACACTTTACATGAGGGTCAGTTAGGAATTACACCGTAAACCAAAGAGGTATGGTCTGACATGTAGGCCATATGTAATAATAGACTGACACGAGGAAAAAGGATTTTCTGTTAAAGTAACTCTAAGTTAGATACACACACATATAGATGGCATATATGCAAACAGTGTGATTCAATGTCTTAATGGTTTTCATCTTCTAAGTCTCATTCCAATTCCCTCACACACACACACACACACACACACACACACACATAATAACTGACCCGTGTGTTTCTGTTTTCTGTTCCGCTTGCCAGGCTGCTCACTGACCCCCTGCATGTGTGTTTGACCTCTCAACTCTGCTCTTTCCCCTCAGGAGAAAGGCCCTGTTCTCTGATGCACCTTTCTAAGTCCACACACACACACACTGATCCATCCTTTGAGTGCGTGGATTTAGCCTTGCAGGGCGACTCCAGTCAGGCTTGTGCTCATCCACAGTAACAGATAAAAGGATATATCACTTCCTCAATCCCTAAAACCACAAGTGTGGGCTGCTGGACACACACATACACACCAGGCACTGAGCTCCTGAGTCCCCAGCTTAGCACTTGATCCTCTCTCTGGGAGGTTGACACTTCAGAGGGAAAGCCTTCACAAACTCCTTCGGACTACACACACACACACACACAGACCCCTCATGGAACATACAGTAGACGTCAAAAATCTCGGAGGGCCTGTTCATGGTGATCTGCTGGTCAGCATCTGTTTACTGTCGAGGACGCTGCTTCATATTTCCACGACCATCAGTCATCACTTGCACCAATGAGAATCTCTGTGTTTGAGGTGCAGGGGACACATCGAGAAAATCACGCCAGGAAACAATCCTCTGAGTGACTAAATATCCTAAAGCTAGGACTGCTCACTCTCTGCAGAAGGGTAAAATCATTTGAGCATATTGACCTCTATGCTGGCCTCCCCCGAGGTAGGGCAGATTGTTGGCTGTTTCAGCCCAGCAGTGAAGCCCTAATTCAGACTGGCGTGGAGCAGACGTGGCTCCGACGTGGATGTCAACTCAGCTAGCGTCTTTGCGGGGCCCAAGGGCACCTGAGCGCCAGCTTGTAAGGGAGAAACTGTGGCCACTGCACCCGAGGGTGTCCACATTTAACACAGTATCCTATCTACTGTTCAGGCAGACGCATGGACAAGCGATATGGACGTATATAACGTGAGGTCAGTGTGAGTTTATGGGGGGGGGGGGCATGCACAAAGTTCAAGTGCATGAAATGCAAAAAGCATATTTTAACTGACAGATGTTTCTCTTGTGGATTTATTGTATGTGGGATAGGGAGGATTTTATTACATACTATAACTCCTACTCCACCCTTTACCCTATACATAGTTTAATATATGGCTAGTTCAATTTGTCAAATGTAGGTGATGGGTGACAAATGAAATAAAAACATTGGTGAGGTGTTGGGCTATCATGAGCCCCCAAAATATATTCCCTCTTAGGTGACTGCAAAAGCCATATGGGCATATGATTCGCATCATTTTTATACTCACAATCCCATTCAGTTGCATGTTTGTTGTATGTTGTATGTTGTGGAGGTTTAAAGGTTTTGCAAGTCTGACACTATGGGCTCTTTAAAGAAAACTGAGACGACTGCCACCTTGGCTAGTCTAAGCGAGTAAAACCAAGCTTGATGGACTGTTCCTCACACTTCCAGCATTTTGGTTTGGCTCCTTTAGTTTCTTTTTGGTTCAATATTGAACAAGTCAAAGCGTCTTTCAAGACAGCCTTGACTTTTGTCAATATTCAAATCAAAACCACAGTGTATCCCAACCCTTAATCAAGTTCTTTGAGTCACCTAAATAAAACCATAACAACGTTAATCGTGCTTTAGTTGCCATGGAGCTAATATTGTAGGAAAAACAAATTAAATATACTGACAGTGAACATTTTGCAGACACAGTCCGTGGTCTAGAACAGTTTGCAGATACTCTTAATGTAAATATTTGCTCATTATGGTGATAATAAATGTGATCTTACAAAATGTGTTAGGTGATACAAATTACCTGTATATGAACATAATTTTTGGGATACAGACATGCAGCCAAATCCTAAACCCTAAAACTAAATACTTGTGAAGACCTTGAAATCGCCTTGGTTGATTTCCATATCCCTTGATACTAATTCAAGACTCTAACCTAAACCTCACAAATTTAAAAAGGACACAGACCCCCGCAGTTTGGTTTTCTTACACTGAAACTGGTTAACATATGTAGAATCAGCATTTTCACAGCAGACTGATGTGCGCTCGTTCTCTCTCTCTCTTCCTCTACGTCACTTTCTCTATAGCTCTCTACCACCATTATATGAATTTATCTCTCTTTCCATTTATTACAAGTATCTTACACGGGGTAGTGTTGGTGTGGAAGAGGGTGGAAGAGGGAGGCTTCAGTGTAACAGTAGGGAGAATGTCACAGTAGGATAAACACAAGGGTGCAGCTGAAGTGGCTTTGGGCTCAGCTCAGGCTGATGTGATGAGAGTATCGGCCCATGGTTTGTATCCACTGAAGCTGTCAGTGTGGAGTGGCTCCCACACACTGTCTATACATCCAGAAATATAAAGCAATTGACTCCTGAGTGTTTCTGTAACCTGGTGCTGTGTTTGTATATGACCAGCAATATCATAATAGCAAGTTAGCAAAGCTAATATGAGGATGTTAATGTTTTACCTGATCCATCAATACCTCCTAAAAAGAAATTGCTTTTAGCACTGTAATGTAATCAACGGCAACCCCTGTGGCTGAGAAATTAAGCCTGAACGGAAGTAACAATAGCTGCAATTCCATGAACGGCCCCTTGAGGCTGGCTACAGATGTGAGTCGTTGACATAAGGCCCCATATTAAAATTTAACATTTTACCACAGAAATACATGTTTACAGCTTGGTACAAAAAACAGTTCTGTCTCTATAGCTAAATCCCCCGTTAATGACTGTATGGAGGGTAATTTGACAAAAAAAAGACATGAAACTTATATTAAGGCTTAAATGTATGCATAGATAATGACAAGGTCGTCACAGATGGCTGTTTTCAGTAACCAGGCTTCATTCAGCACGCCTCAGCTCCACCCATGTTCCTTATATTTGCTAA